GTGTCTGTTTAATCGGTGTCATGTACAGCCCTGCCGCATCTTCAGACTCAGCCAACGAGATTTTGTCGCAAACCATGAGGAATGCATTATCACTAAAGTTCACCCATGTCCTCATAATGGGTGATTCTAACTGTCCCAATCTCTTTAGAACGAGAACTTCCCGCCAGCCATTCATGATACAATTATCTCAGTTCATTGGCTTGCACCCATTGTACAACCACGTTATAGAACCCACCAGATTTGGAGCAGATCACGTACCATCAACACTGGATTTAGTGCTGACTAACGAGAAGCTGATGGTGAAATCCGTCAATGTCACGTCTCCACTAGAACGTAGTGATCATGTCGTATTGAAAGAGTAGTACTCGTTCCATCATAGATTACAAAAAGCTGCAAAACCTGGCAATACTTAAGCAATGGGTCCTCCCAGAAGACGATCACGATCCTTTGGTGGCATGGAAGAGCTTCACTGCTTATCTTCCCGAAATTGTAACGGCTGCAATAAGTATAAAAACTTGTGTTAAATCTAAAACGCGTCATTCATTCATTCGCAGCCGAACGAAGAAATGGATAGAGCAAAAGAACTTTTCCTGGCGGGAGTACAGAAGATGTCCAGATATCGAAACTTGGAATAACTACACCCTACTGCGAAATTAGTGTACCAAGTTTGTACGAGAGGACAAATTGATGTATTAAGAAACCATGGCTCAAAAATTCATTTCTGATCCGAAATTGCTTCATAAACCTATCAACTCTACAAGGAAGGTGAGATGCGGAATACCAGCATTGAGACCGTCTAGACATGTTTCAACCACTACTTTAGAAGCAGCAGAGTTCCTAAATAAACAGTTTGATCAAGTGTTTACTGCAACGACACACGAAGCATTACAGATTCCAAGAAAACTACTCGGTATACCGTATCTGTCACTGGATAACATGGTTTTTGACAGTGAGAAGCTTACAGCAAAACTACTAACTTTGAGTGAGAATTCATCCCCCGGAGCAGACAACATGCATCCCCGATCTCTGATGTCGCTAGCCAATAACATTTCCGAACCTCTGGCTGTTCTTTACCAAAGGGTGTTCAACAAGGCAGTAATTCCGCAGTCATGGAAGGAAGGGGTGATTTCCCTCATTTACAAAGGGGGATCTCGCAGTTGTCCCGCCAGCTACCGCCCTGTTACACTTCTTCCGATATTGTCGAAAGTCATGGAAGCTATTGTGACAGAGCTATTGATGGAATACCTGGAGAAGCTTGAGTTTCTGTCTCCAACTCAGTCCGGATTTCAGAACAAGCGTTCGTGCATCACAAATCTACTTCTTGCACGGGATGAGTGGACCAAATCCGTCGATGCAGGTCAGCCATTGGATATAGTTCATTTGGACTTCTCCCAGGCATTTGATCGAGTAAACCATCAAATTCTACTGCGAAAACTCTACAAATACGGAGTAAGAAGTTTGGTTCTGGACTGGACCAAGGAGTTTCTCCGATAAAGGACCATGTCAGTACTTGTTGGTGATTCATTATTAGAGCCTATCACCGCTACCCGAGGGGTTCCTCAAGGATCCGTACTGGGGCCTCGTCTCTTTCTGGCATTTATAAACGACCCGCCTAATACATTGCTATTTGCGGACGACGCTAAGATCTGGAGAACTGCAACATCTTGAGGTTTATATAGCTCTCCGACAAACGATCGACGCAGCCCACCGATGGTCAATCGCCAATGACATCGAGTTCAACATTTCCAAATGCAGAGTTATTTCCATGCGGCATAAGACTCGTTTCTCCTATGTTCTGGGGAACCAAATACTCCTGCCTACCAGTGATGAAAGGGATTTGGGAGTTATGGCACAGGAGGATGTATGATGCTCCACGCACAATCCCAGAGCATCATCCATGGCTATAAAGCAAGTTAGATTACTCAGACGTGTTTTCGGGCAGTTCGAAAGAGCACTATTCCCACGCTTTTCATCAGCGTTCGTTCGGCCACACACGGAGTACGCCGTTCAAGTATGGAATCCATGGTTAAAGCGCGACAACAAGGCTCTAGAACGTCGACAAAGGCTGGTAACGAAATTGGTAAAAGGTCTGTATAACAAGACATACCCCGAAAGACTGCAAATACTGGGACTCTAGTCATCTCAATATCGCCGACTTCGGGGGACCTAATCTTGGCATATCACATACTGCATCAACCCAACCACCCTTATCGTTCTAGGCTGACTTTATCTCATAATAATCACCTCAGGGGGCATTCACTAAAGGTGAAGACCCAGGAGAGTCACCTCGATTGTCGGCATCACACGTTTGCAGTCAGAGTGTGCGGCGTATGAAATTCTCTTCTATCTGGTGTAGTGTGTGCTCCCACAGTTAAAATATTTAAATCGCAACTTGATAAAGCATTGGAACACTTAAAATTTCAACATCCGTGAGTGATCATGCAAATTGTTATTATTAGTATTATCTCTTTGTGAAGCTATTCAAAGTATTCCGTAAAAATCCTATGGGGCATGATAAGCTTTAGCTTTGGTAAATCGCCCCTAATAAAACTACGACTTTTTAGCATGCCTGTCGCCTGGAACGCAAAAGTCCCGTGGCCAGCACTCCTTCTCTATTATGCGTTTACAGCTGAATGAGAGCACACAAAGTCTATGGCTATTATCACTTCTGCCCGTATGTCTTCTTGTGTCAATTAAATTTCTCATGCTTTTGCCTTCGGTTCGTAAGAGATGAATTCTCGTTGATAAGACAACCAAGTGCTTCAATCCATCACAAGTTCCTCCCGTGGATAGCATACAGCCTTTCAGAGGGCTGAGGGCAGACTACAAGGGCCAATTGCCACACTGGCCACAATAGATTTGCTCTCGATTTCTTTTTGGTTCCCCCAATCCAAACATATTTACTACCATTGTAACTCTGTTGTATACAGTCATTTGCTACACTCAGCACACTGATTTATATGTACTCTGACTATGGTGCTGCACTGATATCATTGTAAAAGCAGTTCTCAGTCATGCAAGGATTCCCGAAGACCATTCGACATACACAACACAGGCTTGCAACCAAAATGCAATCGTCTTGTGAGATCAATGAACTAGATGATCTCGTCGAAATTAAGTGGCCTGATGAAGCGATTGTACGAACAACGGATGCAGGAATAATTAGAATATGCTAACATCATGCTCTATTAGACGCAATGTATCCACCGAATCATTAGCGTTTATCTGAGATCACTTAGCCGACTGCTACCTACTTGTCACAAGATACGCAAACCGTATTCCCCCTACAGCCTCAACCTTTGCAAATGGAATATCAGCAAACTGAACTGGTTTGATTCATTTCCAATGATATCATGACTTTGGGTCATGAGGTTTAAACTCATACTGTAAACCGGTATCAATAAAAATCATACCTGATTTCTCGTGTAGGGATAGCCAATTTTGCTCATAAACAAAATGTGATCCACCATTTTCTTCTCCTCCTCATAAGTGAAGAAAGTCGGAGGACCAGGCCTCGAACACTCAAGGCTGACCCGACCGTGAACACGATCACGAAGGGTAGATTCCGGTACGTTGAAGGCAGTAGCTGCACCGCGTAATGACATGCCTTGATACTTGACGGCATTGTATGCGTTTGTCATATCTCTTTGAGTCCATCGTCGGCGACGCGTCTAGAGCAAGATTATTTAAACAAAAAAGTAACGGTACCTTTGGACGTTGTAATGAACGGCCCGTTACCGAGTCAAAATTTGAATAAAACAAAATTTGTTGCTGGTAATCGTAACTCCCCGTGGAATGAAGTAATTCGGGATCATCGTCGCGATCATCCGCTTCCATTGCGTCATCCGAACAAGAGTAACTCTCGTCCGCGATCATTGATTGAAGCTCGGTCTGTTTCCAACTGAATGTGTTGGGCATAGAGGACAAATAATCCTGAAAGCTGTATAAAACGAAAAAGTGAGGTGAATGAACGTTTGAACCACTCAATAAAATTAATGAGCACTGACGAAACGAAACATACTTCTTCACGTACTTTTGGCACTGCCGGTGTAGTGTTCTAGATCGCATGTCAGGCTATTTGACGTCTAGCGCTTGTAATATTACTGGTATCGGGATTGCGTAGTGCAACGGCTGAGTTCCCATCACTTGAGTATATCTTCGCCAGCGGTCACTTATGCGTTGTAGAACTCAATGATTCAGTGGCTGGACACCAAAGCAGTACTCATCCACAAAAGTCAAAAAAATACCCCAACTATAGACAATTCCATACTTTATCGGTCGTCGCGCAGGGTAATCAGGACCGTGCTAAACATTGCATCCAGCGGGATGAGTGTGATAAGTGGGCTACTTCTCAGACATCCCAACTTTTGCTTAACTCTATATCAAACCCTCATTCTTTGCCTCTTCTTCCGACCCATAACATCCCATCAGCCAATTTGTGCGCCACGCGCCAAAGACCGTTGACGAATAGCGCCGTAAGTGGTTTATCAGTATACAAAGTGCAGATTCTGAAGCCTCGTCAACTTTTCAATCAGGGGGCCTTCAACATAAGGACTGATGCAGGTGGGTCAACAAGCGTATCTTGCGCGAATAAAGAAATTCATATCTGTTGCGTATCCGAGACACGAATTCAGGATCTCAGTAGTTCAAGCCACCTGCGTGCACCGTGTATTTTCTACTTACATCAGGAGACGATGAATCCTGCTCACTGGATCAGCATGATGTAGGAATCGCACCAAAAGATAAAGCTGAAGCCCTATTGACAGAATGGATACCCGTCAATAGTCATTTGGGCACAATAAGGTTCCACGGTTATATGGAAGGGCAGCAACACCAAAAAGCGCTTGTTTGCCATATCGGCAAGTGCACCAACCAACTGCACTCCCAATTCACAAAAGGAAGCATTTTACAACAAACTCACCGAGCTCATCGGATTGAGCAGTAGCTCCAATGTTATAGTGCTAGAAGGTGACGTAAGATTAAGCGCATATAAAGCCTGTCCAGGGGGGCACTTCGCTCTTCCAGCCCAGCGAACAGACAACGTTGATTGACTACTTCAGTTCTGCGTAGACCATCAGTTGTTCTCATCGAGCACAAGCCTCCAAAAGCCTCGGTATGGTCGGGGGTGGGTGTCTAGGGTTGCGGTTGGTCACCCAGCCCTTGCATCTCGCAACGATCAAGCGTCTCTAATTATTTCTGCTGAGGAAGCCTTACTCATTGCCTTCTCGTGGCGGAGGTGTTTTCCCACCAAAATGAGAGGACAAAAATTCGACATCCGGGGCTATAACCGGGTTGGTGGACCACTGGTAGTTCACCTAGGGGTGTTGGCTAAAAACCCTGATTTCAAACCAACCAAGAGAAGGTGCACGAACCACACCCACACCTTTTCGGTTATGGCAGTGGCCACCGGCTCGATTGGGCACCTTGGACGTTTGACCCCGTCCGAAGGGCGAATGATTCGATGAACTGGATACCGGCTCCCAATAGATTGCGGTTTTCACACACCTCGCTGCCTTGAGGGTCAGGCTTTGGCTAGCCAAAGGCTCTGCTTGTGAATTCCTCAAGAAAATTTACCTACCTTAGCCTGGGCAACCTGACAGTATTTAGCCCACAAGCCAATCATGGAACATTTGTTCTTTTTTATAAAGATTATTGTACCACGATTCACCTGGCACACCGTCTGTCCTCAGACAAGTGTGAAATATAATATATAGCACCAACTTTCGACACAGCTCTCGTCAGACATCAATAGGCTGTTCTAGCTCAACCGGCAATTTGATGCAAACTGATCACATAGCTGTAAGCTCCTCTTGGCGTGGCTCTGTACAAAGATGCAGATTATAGAAGACTACCTGCGTTGAGTCTGATCATTATCTCTGATACGCCTCAGTCAGTCATCGCCAAAAATCGTCTCCCCAGTTATCTCATTATCGTCTTTGCGGTTCATCTGTTTGCCCACATTACGAGGAAAATCTTGGACAGGAGCTAAAGGTACCACGAGGTGGTGGAGTGGAACAAATTAAACGAGCAATGCGTTTGGCAGCAAGCTTTGCTTGTGGGGCTGAGCGCGAAGATCGTCGAAGACACTGGATCTCTCAAGAGTCAATAAACCTAATGGCACAAAAGCGGAGGATTCCCAGGTCCCAGGATCAGCATAGGAGTTGGTGGCGCCTGCAAGGTTACCTAAGGAAAAGCCTTAAAATCGCGAAAACTGGTGGGTCACAATAACCAGTGAAATGGAGGCACTTTCGATATCAGGGAATAGTCATAGATTGTTTCACCTTATATGCAGCACCGGAGGTCGTCGCATACTTGTCAGTGAGACAATTTGCAATACAATTGGACAGAGAATCCACAATAAAGAATAATGACCTGACTGCTGGGTAGAGTATTTTAGTGAACAGTTCGATTGGCCTGGTGCTAATACAGTTATTCCGGCAATTGCAGCGGAAACCCCATGGGTAGTATCATGTGAGCCCCCATCGGATTTAGACGTACGAAACTGTATTCAATCATTACAAAAAGGCTGCGAGACCTGATAGGCTTCTCCTCATTTTTTTCAAGCTGAGTGGCGACTCTCGATGCCTCAATTACTAGATTGCTTCGCAACATCTGGTCGGAACAGCGTATCCCTTTACCCTGGGGTGAACCGTTGATTGTTCCGATTTTCAAGAAGGGATCGCACAACGACTGCGCAAACCAACGCGGGAGAAGTTTAGTCCCGACATCACAAAAGTGTTATCATCTGTAATACTGCGCCGCCTGACACTCATAACGGGAATGAATAGTCGCGAACAGCAAGCAGAATTCCGACCAGGTGTCAGTTGCATCGACTAAATCTTCACTCTGCGTCAAATCCCCGAATTGCGCCAAATATATCGTCGGTCAAAGATCGCAGTATTCCTTGAACTGCGTTCATGACTGACTTTCAAGTGCTGTAACTCCATTTGGTATGCGCTTTGCACCTTCAAAGTGCAAAGTGATGCAACAATATTGGGTGTCGTGTACCCGGGCTCTGATGCTTAGTGGTAAAAATTACCCCAACCTTTGTTTAATTCTTTGTCTTCAGTACCCAGCCCTCTCCATTTACCCCTTCTTCCGACCTTGGATGTCGCTCGCCAAAGGTCATTGCCAAATAGCACTGTAACTAATATATCTCGAAACGAATTTCAGATTCTAAAGCCTCGTCAATCACTGAATTTGGGTTCTTCAACGTGAGGACCCTGATGCAGATAGGTCAACAAGATTGTCTGGCGTGTACAATGGAATCTTTAGGGATCGAAATTTGCTGCGTGTCAGAGACTCGTATTCAGAATCCTACTACTATAAGCCACTTGAGCGCACCAGATTCGTCTTTGAGGTACGTTCTTCCCACATCAGATGACGATGAAGCTCGTTCAGTAGGCCAGTGCGGGGTAGGTATTGTACTCACCAACAGGGCGGAGTCCTCTCTTATCGATTGGATCCCCGTCAACAGTCGTTTATGTGCAGTGCGTCTCCAGGGTTCAATCAACGTCCGGAAGGGAGGCAACACCAGGAGTCTATAGTTTTGATGGAGAAAAAACGACAAATCCCGAACAGCCAGGATCAAAATGGAGTTAGGTGGCATCTACAACGTCAGCTCATGAAGAGCCTCAAGGACCGTGAGAACAG